GACTTTCACTTTGAAAGAGAACTAGCCGTTACATTGTTTATACACAGATTATACAGATGTTTTCTATCCTCTTGTGTATAAGGCAACGATAAGTAAAATCTGTCTGTTTTTGTTTGTTATTAACATCTATATTTTTTTGCTGTGTAACCCAACAGACTGCCTTTAGCTCAAATTTAAAAAACTTTTTACATTTATTTATTTAATCAAAAAGTGTCTGTTAGAATGGCTAATCAAGTTATTTACGATGTTGTTCAAACGGGATATTTGACTGATAAAAAACATTTGGCTAGTCGGGGCGTGGCAACGTGTGTGATACTTGCTGTTTACCATAGAATTAACGGTCAGTCACAAATATTATTGCGATATTTATCGGATGAACAGATGCCACAACTGAATAATTTGAACACTTCATTGTTGGAGTTAATTGAAGAGACAATTGCTGAATTAATCTATGAAGACAACGTCCTCGAATTTAATCACATTATATTCGCTGGCGGTGCCATATCTGACATAAATGGGATGGTAGAGGTCGAAATTTTAAATATGGTCGATAATCCACTGATTCAGCCAAGTGCTGATGGTCTCGATAGTGGTAAGCAATTTGAAAGTTTGATAGTTGCAATAGGCGTAGACGGATGCTACTGTAAATCCATATAGTAGGAATTTCTATTGAGAGTAGTCAATCAGAATTTTTCCAGAAAGATACAGCTCAGCGAGCGTAACCAGTGATAGAAATTACAGACTTTTTTCTTCGGAGAACTACAAAATCTTTTAGTCAGACACTAGAGAGGGAAAAAAAGATATTTTCTCAACTATTTTTCTGTGAACATCAATTTAGAAAAATTATTTTTTAGGAATTACAATGAAAGGCTTACATGATTTTCTCCGGTGTGTTAAATTCGTGACACGACATTACCGCGAACGACGTTACCGCGAACGACATTACCGCGAATACAAAAAACGACATTACAGTGAACGACATTACCGCGAAGACTCGTTTATTGGAAAAGAAGAATAAATGAGCCTAGTTTTGTACTTTGTATATCGTGTGGAGGGAGGTGGGAAGTGGGGAGAGGGCATTGTGAGAGTGAGTTCGAAAAGTATTTTCACATAAAACATA